CCAGTATCACCGAGAGAATTAAGAAACAGCATCGACCAGAATCACCGAGAACAGCGACCAAGGAAGAAATACCCAGGAAGAATCAATAGAGACAAGCACGCCAGTCGGTTCGGTAAGTCCCGAGACAACGACATCTTCGTCCCCGACCAGGAGAAATTCCGACGACCAAGTTGCTGTACTGTCACCATCTGCCAATCGGTCCGTATTACCGTTAGGCTAAGTGTGCCGTCCAGCTTCTCTCAGTCCGACGACGCCTTCGTCACCGGCGAGCAGAGTTTCAATAAAATTAAGTTTCTGTGCTGTCACCGACTACAAGTCGGTCTGTAATATCGCTAGGCTAAGTATACCGTCCAGCTTCTCTCAGTTCGACGACGCCTTCGTTGCCGGCGAGTAGAATTTCGACAATTAAGTCCGTGTTTGCCACAAGTCTGATTTAGGAGTAAGTGTACAAAAAAAAGAATAAACGATAGTCAGCCGACTAGCATTACTGAAAAGATCGTGACTACTTCCATGAAGAGAACCTTCCTCTCCCGCCAGTCTCCACCGTCGTCACGCACGCACGGGCGATCACCGACGACGGGGCGCGCCGATCAACCCGAACAAACGAACGAAACGACGCGAGGAGGACGCGCGTCCGAGCCAGCTCGCCCAACGCCGGCGAACCGGCGAGCGCTCGCAAGCAGCCCTCGCGAGAGAGCGAGGACGACGCACGCCCGGGAAGAGAGGTCGCGGCGTTACATGGCGATCCTGCCAGGATCGGCGGACTGACAGGGGAAGATTGGGAGGACCGAGGAGCGAAGAGAGTAGCACGACAAGCCGAGCCAGGAAGGCAGGATGCCCAAGGCCTGGATTCAGGATCTCCGAAAGGCGGAAATCAGCAGGATGCTCACGGAGCAGGGCCTCGAAGGGCAAGGAACCCTAGAAAAACTGCGACAACGCCTCCGGAGGCTGGTGGACGAGCATCCGGCCCGGTTCGGAGCCGGAGCCCGAAGGCGGATGATTCCGGCCCCCGAGCCGGTCGAGGACACCACATCCGAGCCAGACTCCATCGCGGGGGTGGACCCACCGACCCAGATGCTCACCGACGCCCAGGCTATCATGGCCATCCAATGATGGGATTACCGGTTTTCCGGCAAGGACCTATTGGCCTTCCTAGAGCGGGTCGATGAGCTGCGGCTGTGTTATGGAGTCACCACGCGGCAGCTCATGTGGGGAATACCGGAGCTGCTACGGGGAGACCCCCTCCTATGGTATAGGAACCACCGAGCTTCCTGGCGGACTTGGGAGGAATTCTGCGCAGCCTTCCGCACACAGTTCCTTCCACCCCGGTACCGGATACAACTGCGACGCCGGATCCTGGAGCGTCACCAACGAGCCGGAGAGGCCTACCGCGACTATGAGACCGCTTTGCTGACGATGATGCGCCGCAGCGGCGATGAGGACTACCTCGACAGCAGCCTGTCCATCCTGTACGAGAATCTCGAGCCGGGGGTATAAAATGTTTATCGGAGCGCACGATCTAATCAACGTAGACCAGCTAGTGCGGCTCGCCCGGGAGTATGAGGAAATCATCCGCCAGAGAGAGGAGCAAGGCCGTTCGATCAGGACCGCCGGGCCAACAGTCTCCAGCCTCTTGTACGACCGGAAAGCATGCTGCTGGCGTTGTAAGCAGCCAGGGCATCACCGCCGCGCCTGTAACCAGCCAGCCCTCAAATTTTGCTCACGGTGCGGCAAAGAGGGGGTGTTGACCAAGCAATGCCACCCGACCGAGGGAAACGCTGCCGCGGCCGGGGACAGCACGGCCGCGTCCCGGCCGCCCAAGTAGACTACCGGCCCCGACCATATCTCCAGGTGGGGTATGGAAACTGCCAGATAAGGGCCCTCATCGACACTGGAGCAGAGACTTCACTAGTAGACCGCCGAGTACTAGCTCCCGAGGATCAACCACGAGGAACAACCGGGAAGGTCACGCTGGCCGACGAGACCACCACCACAAACCAGGGCCACACATGGATCACCCTCTGAGTAGGAGGGCAACGATATTACCACAAGTTTGTAGTCATGGCCTTTCTAACTGCGCCAATGATCCTCGGCGTCGATCTGTGGACACGGCTACAAATTACCCTGCGTCCCCCCCCCCCCGCGGAGAGCCTCATGAAGAAGCACGCCCAACATCGGGGTGATCGAGGACGGGCTGGAGCCGCGGACCGAAAAGGAGAACAAGCAGCTCCAAAGATTCCTCGAACACGAGCTCGCCCTGTTCAGCATGGTCACAGGGCCCACGCCACGCGTACGACACGAAATACGGGTACGACCGGGGACCGCCCCCATCAAGCAACGATACCGGCCGCGCAACCCAGCCATGCAGCAAGTAATAAACTTAGAGGTAGACAAGATGGAGAGGGAAGGGGTCATCGAGTCCTCAGCCAGCGCCTGGAGTTCACCCGTCGTCCTAGTCCGGAAGAAAGACGGCGGGTACAGATTTTGCATTGACTTCCGGAAAGTCAGTGAAGTAACCGAGCGGGACGCGTATCCCCTGCCGCAAGTCGGGGCCACGCTAGACCGATTGCAGGGCGCCCGCTACCTGTCGACACTGGATCTTAAAAATGGATACTGGCAAGTACCGCTGATAAACGAAAGCAAGGAGATTACCACTTTTACCGTACCGGGAAAAGGCCTCAAACAATTTACCGTCTTACCATTCGGATTACACTCCGCCCCCGCCACCTTCCAAAGATTGGTAGACACCGTCCTGGGCATCGAACTGGAACCGCACGTCCTCGTTTATTTGGAGGATATCATCGTTTTTAGTACCACCTTCGAGGAACATTTAGAACACCTCCAAGAGGTATTCCGACGGTTGCGTAGAGCGAAGTTAAGATTAAACACCGAAAAATGTCACTTTTGCCGGCATGAACTGAGATATCTCGGTCACGTAATTACACGAGAAGGCATTCACACCGATCTGGCAAAGACGAATGCTCTCCAGGCATAGCCGGCCCCAAAGAACGTCAAACAAGTGCGCCAATTTCTAGGGTTGGCGTCATGATATCGACGTTTTGTACCCAACTTCTCCACCGTGGCCGCGCCTCTAACCGAGCTTACCAAAAAGAAAGTACGCTGGAGATGGGGAGCCGACGAAAAGGCGGCGTTGCAGCGCCTCAAAACGGCTCTCACCACCGCTCCCGTGCTGGCCTGCCCCGATTTTGCATGAAGCAAAATCGGAGCAGCAAAAACGCTTCATGCTACAAACCGATGCAAGCCAGAACGGGCTGGGAGCTGTATTGACGCAGCAGCTCGAGGAGGGGGAACGAGTGATCGCCTACGCCAGTCGGACGCTGAACCCGGCCGAAAGAAATTACAGCGCCACCGAACTGGAGTGCCTCGCGGTGGTCTGGGAAATCCGCCGGATGCGCGGATACCTCGAGGGATACACCTTCACGGTCATAACCGACCACCAGTCCCTGAAATGGCTGCAACGCCTGGAGACTGCCACCGGCCGCCTGGGAAGGTGGAAATTCGAAATGCAGGAATATTCGTTCAACATCGAGTACCGTAAGGGAGCTCAGAACGTCGTCGCTGACGCCTTGTCGCGAGAACCGGAGATCTGCGGGGCCACCGTCGCGGAGCGATGTGCGTGGTATGACGACCTGAAGCAGCAGGTGGCCGCCCGCCCTCGAGAGTACCCCGACTATGCTATCCGGAACGAAACGCTATACCGTCACTTCCTGCACAGCCTGGATTTCCGCGAGGTCCCGGCCGACAAACAGTGGAAGAAGTGCGTGCCCGCGTACGAACGCCGGAGAATATTAGAGCGCCACCACGATGCGCCCCACGCCGGCCACCTAGGAATTGCGAAAACCATCGTGCGGCTAGCGGAAAATTATTACTGGCCGGGAATGGCGAGAGACGCGGCATGATATGTCCGACAATGCCACGCTTGCATGGCGCACAAGGCGTCGCAGCAGAAATCCGCAGGCCTCCTGCACGCCACCGCCACCCACCCGCCGTGGGAGCACGTATCACTGGACTTAATCGGACCGTTGCCGCGATCCCGCCGCGGGTATATGTGACTACTCACGGCGCAGGACCGATTCTCTAAATGGCTCGAAATAAAACCCCTGAGGAAGACCACCGCGCAAGCTATTGTCGATACCGTTCGACAATAGCTATCGACAAGGTAATTTACCGACACGGCTGTCCGGAGGTAATTGTCTCGGATAACGGGACACAATTTACGTCAAGAGAATTCAAGGCCGCGACGAAAATGTACGGGATACGACACCGAACGACTCTCGTGTACACGCCCCAATGCAATCCGGTCGAACGAACGAATCGCGTTATAAAAACAATGATTTCCCAATATGTGGATCAGCGACACCGCAGCTGGGATGAGCATCTACCGGCGTTACGCTTCGCGTATAATACGGCCCAGCACTCCTCCACCGGGTTCAGTCCGGCGTATTTGAATCACGGGCGAGAATTAGCAAGGCCGCATCCGACGGATCGAGAAAACCGAAAGACGATCGTGGACCCGCGCGAAACAGAGGACATGCTAAAAGAACTCAACGAACTCGTGAGAATCAATTTGGCTCAAGCCTTCCAGCGGCAAGAGCCGCATTACAATTTAAGGAGGAGGGCATGACGACCCCAGCTGGGTGACACTGTCTGAAAGAAAGAACACCCGCAATCCGATAAAGCAAGGGCATTCAACGCAAAGCTCGCGCCGAAATATAAGGGCCTGATGATCGTTCGGAAGATAATCGCGCCGGTAATCGTCGATTTACAAGATACGCAGGGGAAATGGCACCGACGGATACACGTGCGAGATTTACGAGCGACACACGAGGCCGAACAATAGCCCCGGCGAGGATCATGGTTTCCGAACGTGATAGCAGGGGCCAATCGCGCGACGACACCCGAAATCTCCGAGACCACACCAACGGGAATAACACTATAAAAGAATCGGCGATAGCCGAATCTGGCAAAATCTCGGCAACATGGAACTCGGCGACTACGAGACCGAGCTGTACGAAATACTTGTAGCTACCGAGGAGGATGCGAGACACGTCTGGGATCGGCTGAGCCAGATCCCCGAAGCGATGGCGAGAGGAAAACGGCCGGAGCCCGTCGAGGAGGAAGCGTCGACGTCGCTGCCGAACCTACAAGATTCACTGCGGCCCACCAAGCAGGCGCCACCGGAGGTCGTGGGGCTCGCCGACCGAGGCACAAGGAAGCCGGCCGCGAACACCAGCGGCCGCCTGCAGCGGTCAGACCATGTAATCCGCCGGAAGTGGGCAGGCCTGATGGCACCACCACCTCCTCACCCCAGGCGAGGGCCCTTTCGCCGTCCGGTCAAGCAGCCGATCAGACCGGCCCCAAAGGGTCTGATGGCCACCACCATCGAGGGGCCAACCGAAGAGGTGAGAGAACGACCACCGACTCCTGCCACCGTCACCGAACGCACGCCACCAGCGGAAGAGAAGACGACGCGAACCGGCTCCCGGGTCCGCGAAATCACCACGCCGATTACGCAGTACGCGTAATACTGCAGCGGACGCCGGAGCCAAACGCCGGACCACCGCCATCACCAGCGAGCCAAGGGCCAGAACCACCGAGGGAGGTACCGCCGTCACTGCCGCCGACTCCACCACCCGTGTTCGGGCCAGAGCCACCTCCACCAGTGGACATCGGGCTGCCGAACGGCGAAACGGTAAGCATACCGTACTTTTCGGTGGTAATCTCGCGCCGCTACCGCCTGACGACAACGGGCGGCCGTTGGAACTTATGGTACCAACGGGATGGAATCTTACGGAGCGCAAGGTTCCACCCGTGAGGAGGACACCTCCATCACTAGCAACAAGGAGGGGGGTAGTGTAATGGAGGAGAATCTGATGACGGATTCTCTTCCGTTACTAACGGGTCGGCGACCGTCGAGCAGTCGTCGACTGAGGAACCGCGCCGCGACCCCCCTCGATTAGCCCGACGATCCGGTCAGCGGCAAGCGCCGAAGCGGCCCGAAGAGCCGGCCGTAGGCGCTCGGGAAGATCCCCCCCAAACGGTACGCGGAATCTGGGGGATGAGTCGAACCCCCCGATTACGAAAGATTAGGTATAAATTCCGCGCTCTCGCCGAAATCGAGAGATTGCGGCTAGCCGTCTTCGACCAGCAACACCAAGAGAGTTTTGTCGTCTTCGACCAGTATCACCGAGAGAATTAAGAAGCAGCATCGACCAGGATCATCGAGAACAGCGACCAAGGAAGAAACATCCAGGAGGAATCCATAGAGACAAGCACGCCAGTCGGTTCGGTAAGTCCCGAGACAACGACATCTTCGTCCCCGACCAGGAGAAATTCCGACGACCAAGTTGCTGTTCTGTCACCATCTATCAATCGGTCCGTATTACCGCTAGGCTAAGTGTGCCGTCCAGATTCTCTCAACCCGACGACGTCTTCGTCACCGACGAGCAGAATTTCAATAAAGTTAAGTTTCTGTGCTGTTCCCGACTATAAGTCGGTCCGTAATACCGCTAGGCTAAGTGTGCCGTCCAGTTTCTCTCAGTCCGACGACGCCTTCGTTGCCGGCGAGTAGAATTTCGACAATTAAGTCCGTGTTTGCCACAAGTCTGATTTAGGAGTAAGTGTACAAAAAAAAAGAATAAACGATAGTCAGTCAACTAGCATTACTGAAAAGATCGTGATTACTTCCATGAAGAGAACCTTCCTCTCCCGCCAGTCTCCACCGTCGTCACGCACGCACGGGCGATCACCGACGACGGGGTGCACCGATCAACCCGAACAAACGAACGAAACGACGCGAGGAGGACGCGCGTCCGAGCCAGCTCGCCCAACGCCGGCGAACCGGCGAGCGCTCGCAAGCAGCCCTCGCGAGAGAGCGAGGACGACGCGCGCCCGGGAAGAGGTCGCGGCGTTACAACCACCTCCTTAGCCCCGTCAAGAGGGGGCGGAGGGTCCCGTGTACCTGGCCTCTGATCGTGGTGCCAGGTCGCCGTGAGGATAGCCGCCTGAAACCTATCCGCATCAAGTCGACCGAGGGCCTATCTTTTGGGGAGGGGAAAGTCCCCCTCCCCCGGGCGGCGTTCCAGCCTCTGGTGAGTGGTGGGAAGTCGTAGAGCCCACGTCACGTATCGGTGGTCCGACAGCAACTCTCTCTCCTGCCCCACCACCCACTCCCGGAATTCCCGACCAGCCGAGGGAGAGGCCCACGTTAGGTCTATGACCGACTCGCCTCCTCCCCCCGGCCGCACATAGATGCTGGTGGACCCCGTATTCATTAACACGAGGCCCAATCCCGCCACCCAATCGGCCACGGCCTTGCCCCGAGAGTCCCTTTGCCGGGGACTGCAGCCCCACTCATCCGAGTGGGCGTTAAAGTCCCCGGCGACGACTACAGGTCGGGGGTGGCACTGCCGTACCACATCCCGACCCTGTCCAGGATCCTCACAATACGAGCAAGCTCGCCTAGGCCTTCTCTATTCCTGTGGTGGGGGAGATATACCCCCATCACAATGATGGGCTCACAGTCGACAGCCACATACGAACGCCCCCTCTTTCTGACTTTGCAGGAACTGCAAAGTCCTCCTCTGGGGGAACTTTGGCCGTGGTGGCGGCTTCCATATCGGGTGCCTCCGTGGTGGCAGTCTGCTCTAATGCTTCTTTGGGTGCTTCCTCGGAGGTTCCTATCTGGGGGGTCCCTACCTCTGCCTCCCCCTCCTCTCGAGAGTATGAGGCGGGGAAGCCTACAAGGGGGCCGAGGATGGCGCGTCCTCCGACCCCCCTACTACAGTTGTTGGGGATGGAGTTTTTGCAGTCTCCACCCTCCTCACCTTATCCTTCCTGTCCGGGGGAGCTGGCTCCTTGTCCTCTATCTCCTTTGCCGCCTTCCTCTCCTCCGGTGTCGCCGCCGGGAATTAGTAACCACTCTCTTCGGTTCACCCTCGAACTTGGAATCCTAAGATTCCAAGTTGAGTCCATCACCTTGGATCATTGTGGCCATTAAGCTTCTGCACCACGACAAAGTGGCAACCGCCGCAGAAGAAGCGAGTGTGACTGCTCATTGAAATTTCGGGAGGTGATTGCGTGCGCACAGGCTCTTCGCAGCGGGCGATTCGCATCATTATCATGCCTCGCGATGCATGCTCCCCCGAGTTTCCGACAACCGCGATTGTCTTAAAGACTCTCACCGCGTATGTTCCCCCTCGGGTCACCGTTAGCGCCGCTCTCGATCATCTTCCGGATCTGCCACATGCCGACCCCGATCCCTGCAGCTTCGAGCCGATAGGGCTAATTATCGGCGCGGATGTATACGGCAACCTTCTGCTCTCGGGCATCCGCCGGAGAACGTATGAGGCGCTCACTGCTCAGAGCACCGTTTTCGGATGGGTGCTCTCGGGTTCGTTAAGCGGCTCCGTTGTTTCTTCGTCGTCTGGCGCGTTTGTTTCGTTCCGCGGTCCGAGGACTGGATCGCCATCCCTTCGTATAAACACACTCCATTGTACGGAGTCTGTTTCGCTCGATAGCGAACTCCGACGATTTTGGGAACTGGAAGAAGTTCCCACAAAATCAATCCTCAGTTTGGAGGACGAAAAATGCGAGGAGTATTTTTGAACTTCTCACTCTCGCAATGAAAGCGGTCGCTATATCGTACGGATTCCCTTCTGAGAGGGACCTCCAATTCGCATTGGCGAATCGCGTGCTAGGCCGGAGAGCCTGCTGCACAGCCTCCATCGTCGTTTTCACGCTCACCCGGACCACAAGGTTGAGTATGTGGAATTCCTTCGCGATTACGAAGAACAGGCTCATATGCGGGAAGCGGGGAGAGATTATCAGTTAGGAGACCAGGTCATCTTCATTCCTTACCATCCCGTCATTCGTGCTTCCAGTGTGACAACTCGTCTTCGCGTAGTGTTCAACACTTCGAGCGTTTCTTCGAACGGCACATCATTGAATGACCATCAGCTTATTGGGCCGAAGCTTCAGACGGAATTGCCTGCAGTCATGCTGCGTTTGAGGCAGCATAAATTTGTCTTAGCCGCTGACATTAAACAGATGTATAGGCAAATATCCATTGACAAACGAGACATAGACTATCAGCGCATCTAGAGCGCCGATGCATCGGAACAACCGAGGGCTTATCAGCTACTTACCGTAACATATGGGATCGCATCCGCTCCGTTTCTTGCTCTTCGAGTTTTACAACAGCTGGTAGCGGATGAAAGCTCGCCATTTCCTCTCGCGTCCACTATTTTAAAGGACAATATCTACATCGACGACGTGTTTTTCGGTGCATCTGATGTTGCCATTCTTCAAGAAGCCCGCCTTCAACTGGAACGATTACTTCACAAAGGTGGATTCCAGCTGCACAAGTGGGCTGGCAATGACGTCTCGATGATGATCGCTGCGAATCATTCAAGCGAGGGGTTCATCGCTTCCAAATCTTTCGGGCTTGATGACCGCGTCAACATTTTGGGAGTCGCATGGAATCCAGTTTCCGACGCGTTCGTGTTTCATTTGAGCTCTCCTAGTTCGGTACCTCGCACCAAGCGCTCCATCCTTTCGTTTATTTCGAGGCTGTTCGACCCACTGGGATGGGTAATGCTTGTCACTATTTGCGCCAAAGTGTTCATTCAAACTCTATGGCGATTGAAGGTCGTATGGGACGATTCGCTTCCGTACGATTCTTTTCGACATTGGGAGAAACTTTATCGATCCCTTCCACGTCTAAACGGCCTTCGGGTTCCTAGATGGACCGGGCAGCAAGCCGACGACGTTCTAATTGAATACCATGGCTTTTCCGACGCCGTCGTGTTCGCCACGGTAGTCTACCTGCAAACTGTATCTCGTTCCGGCACTGTCAATGTGGCTTTACTGACGGTCAAATCGAGAGTTGCCCCGGTGGCCACCTTGAGCATTCCTCGGCTCGAGCTTTGCGCCGCCCTGCTACTCTCGCGATTACTGAATTTTGTTCAAGAAACCTTTGCGCTCACGGACCTTCCGTGTTTCTGTCGGACCGACTCGACGGTTATATCAGCATGGCTCAATAAGCAGCCTTCAACGTGGAAGAGTTTCATCGCCAATCGAGTAGCGGAAATTCAAGCCCGGACTCCTCTCGCTGCCTGGCGACACGTGCCGACGCACGCCAATCCGATGGACTGGGCGTCGCGCGGTGTATTTGGCGACGAGCTCGGCAATCTTAGACTCTGGTGGGACGGTCCATCTTGGCTCAAGCAGTCAGAAGAAAGCTGGCCGCTCCCAGAACATTCAATCCATGCGCGCGACGAGGATCTGGAGCAAGTGCGGGTCGCCTCGCATGTTTCAACTTCGACGCCCAAATGGGATCTTGAGTCCCGCTTTTCGTCGTGGACGAAACTTCTTCGCGTCACCGCCTACGTGATGCGCTTTTATCATAATTGTCTCGCTCGTGTATTCAAATCGAAATTACTGACTGGGGCATTCGTGACTGCCCCGGAAGTCCAACAAGCCCGCGTTTACTGGCTTTGTCGAATTCAACGAGAACTGTTTTCGGATGAGATACAGGCGCTATCTCGTTCTAAGCCGCTATCGCCCAAATCATCACTACTGTCGTTAAGGCCTTTCCTCGACTCCGATGGCTTGTTGCTAATCGGCGGCCGGCAGGAGACATCTAATCTTCCATTCAATCAAAAGCATCTAGTGATATTAGCTTCTCATGCGTTAGTCAAGTCGATCATTGTCGGTGTATACTTGCGAATGCTTCACGCTGGGCCATCTCTTACTCTTGCCACTCTACGTCAGGAGTTTTGGATAATGAGAGCTCGGAGCTCTGTCCGCGCAGTTATTTGTAATGGTGTCCGCTGCGCTCGGGAGAGAGCCAACACTCCTCAGCAGTTGATGGGGAGCCTTCCTTTCCCCCGCGTCACCGCTTCGACCCGATGCTTTGTCCACTGTAGCATTGATTACACCGGTCCAATGCTGGTTCGTGCATAGGTCGGCCGTGGAATTAAGACCATCAAGGCCTACATTGCTTTGTTCGTGTGTCTGGCCACCAAAGCCATCCATCTTGAATTGGTGAGCGGCTATTCAACCCAATCATTCCTTGACGCCTTCTCCCGTCGGGGATTACCGCGTGACGTATATTCAGACAACGGCACGAATTTTGTTGGAGCGGATTGCGAGTTGTCCGACGCGTATCGCGCCACGTTGGAAGATCCCACGTTACGAAATCGCTTCGCCTCTGATCAGGTTACGTGGCACTTCATGCCGCCTTCGGCCCCCCATTTCGGAGGATTATGGGAGGCCGGAGTCCGCTCCACGAAGCACCATTTGCGCCGAGTGGTCGCGGGACACACCCTCTCGTTTGAGGAACTGTCCACCGTTTTATGTAGAATCGAGGCGTGCCTCAATTCTATCCCGATTGCTCCCTTGAGCGACTCAGCCGATGATTTAACCGTATTGACGCCCGCGCATTTTCTTGTCGGGGGTGTGTTAACGGTGCCCCTCGAGCCATCGACGCTCGACATTTACGAGAATCGACTCGCGAGGTGGCAGGTAGTTCGGCGTATGACCGAACATTTTTGGCAGGCATGGCGGGCGGATTACCTGAGTTGCTTGCATCAGCGGGGAAAGTAGCGACATATACGAGATTTATTCCGGATAGAACAAGTACCAGGTCTGTAAATATGAAACCGGAATTTGCCCATAGATAGCCCTAGCTGTCAATGTAGTTACCGTCAAACCGCGTCATTGGCGCCATTTCCATTTGTTGTGTGACGTGGCAGCCGGAAAGGCGCCCGTCCCAGGCCGACCTTTCGGCCCTTAGGCGAGACTTTCGGGGGGGGGGTGTCGCCTTGCACTCCCCCCCGTAATAATTAGTGTCAGCAATCGAGGCGTGCAGGTGGAACAGTCCCGCGTCCCCAAGCTCTGTGCCCCTGGACCTCCCGCGCCGCCCATCAGGACCTAAGGGACAGGTGGAGGAGGGAAGAGGACGACGCTCTCAGCTGGACCGCCACCCCAGGTGAACGCAATCTTTTTGCAATACTATTATCGGTTCCGTATCGTTGTGAAAGGTTCTCGCGGCCGCTTCCGTTGTCCACAGGCCTGCAAGGATATCGCGCCGAACGGTCGGCGTTCCCGTGCTTGGCGCGTGAACGCCGGCTAGACAAAGCCAGCCTAAACACGGAGACCGGGCGAGTGTGAGCAAGAGAGAGAGAGAGAGAACGAGCAAGAGAGTGAGACCGAGCACCCGTCCCGCGGATCGAAAAACAAAGATCCGCGGAAGGATTCCCGTACAGGGAGATTTACCGAGGAACGGGGAAAGACGGGTAGCACGAGACAACACAAACGGGCAAGAAAGCCTGTCGGGAGAAGAAAATAAAAAGAAGAGACTCCCATTGTCGCGCTCTCTAATATCGCCGACCTGCTTCCGAGTATTACCGGAGGGATCACGACTATCGAAGAAAAGGAGATTGGTGAAGGTTGGCATTGGCGAGTGGAGGAATTCGGACGTACCCCTCGCCCTAGAAGGGAACGTCAGTGGCAGCGAGCGAGCGAGCGAGCGAGCGAAGGAGGAAAGCGGAGGACCACGTCGCCGGGAGGTTCCCGATTCTGTAAGACCTTCCACCTGCGTTATTGTTCGGTGTCGTGAACGTCAAGAGTCTCGTTAAGGTTATCGGCGTAGCGCAAAGTCTCGAATCCGCGAGAGCCAGACTGAATGTACCGTATCGAGGGGTCGGACCGTCCCGATTCCCGAAATAATAAAACTGAAGATATTCGAAATGCGCCTCGTTGTTCGTGTGTTTTCCCGGTCGCTCCCGACTTCCGACGAACCCTTCCCGTCTACCGACTTAAATATCGAAGAGCTACCGGTCCCGTCGACTTCGCGTGTCTCGGCCCTTTGGTGGCGTGTAGCGTAGCGTTGGTGAGCGGTGCAGCCCGTTGCACCTGGCGCCCAACCTATTTCGTGAGAGCTGGGTTGGCCGAGGCGCGCGGACCGACGGCAGTTTGCCGACGGCGAGCGAAAATCGCGTCGCAGTTGACATCTGATAAAGATTTTCAACTCACAACAATACAAGTTTCATACAACAGCATTGTTTGTAATAGCGTTGAACATGTCGAATTTTGTGCCTGGAAACTGCGATTTGCGGACAGCATTGATTTTCTGTTGCCATTTGAAGAAAACTGCTGCAGAATCGCATCAAATGCTTGTCGAAGCTTACGGTGAGCATGATCTTGGTAAATCACAGTGCTTTGAGTGGTTTAAAAAATTCAAACGTGGCGATTTTGACGTGAGAAACGAAGAACGTAGAAGACTATCGAAAAAGAGTTTGAAGATAGCGAATTGCAAGCATTGTTGGATGAGGATGACGCTCAAACGCAACAACTCGCGGATCAATTAAATGTGACACGAGAAGCCGTCTCCATACGTTTAAAAGCCATGAGAAAGATCCAAAAGATGGGAAAATGGGTTCCACATGAACTGAATGAAAGACAACAGGAAATCCGAAAAACCACTTGCGAAATGCTACTCGCCAAGTACAAAAGAAAGTCATTTCTCCATCGAATTGTGACTGGCGATGAAAAGTGGATATATTTTGAGAATCCTAAGCGTAAAAGATTATGAGTAACTCCAGGCGAACCATCGATATCGACTGCAAGGCCAAATCACTATGGACGGAAGACAATGTTCTGTATTTGGTGGGATCAGAAGGGTGTGATCTATTATGAGCTGCTAAAATCTGGCAAAACCGTTAATACTGAACGCTACCGACAACAAATGATCGATTTGAATCAAGCTTTGCGTAAAAAACGACCAGAATATCAAAAAAGGCAACACAAAGTGATTTTCCTTCATGATAATGCACCATCACACACAGCAAAACTGGTCAAGGAAACGATTGAGGCGTTTAATTGGGAAATACTTTCGCATGCGGCTTACTCACCAGACTTGGCTCCGTCTGATTACTACTTATTTGCATCGATGGGACACGTACTTGCTGAACAGCGCTTCACTTCTTACGAAAATGTACGAAAATGGCTCGATGACTGGTTTGCCTCAAAAGAGCAACAGTTTTTTTGGCATGGTATCCACAAATTGTCAGACAGGTGAGAAAAATGTATAGCTAGCGATGGGCAATACTTCGAATAAAATATTTTTTATCATTTTCATATAATAAACGTGTATTTTCTATACAAAAATTCCGGTTTTATATTTACATACTTGGTAGTCCTATTGCGTAATCCTCCCTAACCGTCCTGCAAATGGGAGTTGGGTCGCGTTTCGAAAGTCCATTCTAGACCCGACGAGCTTGTCCACGTAGCGACCGTTCGAACGGCAACGGCTGTCTTCAAGCGACCGATTTGTAAGCTCTGCGTCCTGCCCGTCGATCATGAGGGATCTGCGTCTACCGAGCCCACGGATTAGACGGCGTTTTATCTGCTCGCGAGGGAGCCGCTAATAGTTTCCAAAGTATCGCTTAACTTCATTCGGAACGCGTGAACGCGTCTTATTCCAAAATCAATGCGCTAGTGCCCTCATTTTCCATAATACCAATAACTCGACTGTACCACTGCGATCAATTGAAGGCGCCACTTCGGGAGCACTCCATAATTTCTATATTTCATTAACAACGTGCCGAATTCCGCTGGCTTACTTTGATGTGCCGTGCGACCGCGGTTTGTGTTCAAATTTTAATTGATCGCGAATAGTCTCCTGACCGAGATGCTGGCATTTCGAAATTAGTGTTTCGAGGCGGGTGGCATGTTCGCGCAAGGGCGAATTGTTTGCGGCTCGAGCGGATCGTGACGAGCACGTAAAACCGGCGCGATCAGGGCGAATCGGTACAAATACCGATACGTCTTTCTTGTTGTTCGCTCCAATAGGACATTCACAACCACCTTGAGTCGTGGAAAAAAGGCACACGTGCTCGAGTCGTGCGCTTAGGGCACAGGCAGATGACGCTCATCGCTCGTTAGCCAATGGGCGATCGATACCACTCTATACCAGCGATGACTCGTGTGGCCCTCGTGATCGACGCCGCGCTCGCCGGTGTGTTGCTCTCACGCGTTTTCGGTGGCCTCTTCCGGCTTGTGGTGCCCTCTGAATTGTACCAGGCATGCGCGCTCGGAGAGGATTGCCCCAATCCGCTCGGCGTGGATTGCGACACGCGTGCGCGGGAGCAATTAGCCAGAAAATTCGAATATCTGCGCAACGCGGATCGACGGGCGGATCGATCGCTCCTGTTGAGATGAGTCCGTGTGGATGGATGACCACCAGAGAAAAGCAGTGAGTCGAGCTGATGAACACCGATTTCCGTTCTACCGGGTACTCGTAGCATTGCGCTCATCGATTTACGATTCCGCGGGCTGCTCGCTCCGGATGATTATGCCGTGCGGGCCGTCGTGAGTCAGTGTAGGAGTAAGATCGTCGTCTTGTGATCATTCCAAACTGTATTCATCACGGTTTTGATAACCGTCGCGTTCGTCCCCGATAACATTGTGAACTATGTGAATAACTGTCATTATCGTCGGTGCTGTGGTTGTGCTGTCTTTGGTGAATCGTTTCGTGTCTCACAGCTCAAATATAACTATTGAGAAGAGTATAATCTCCTGGTCTTTGGTCATTCTTCCTTGTTCAAGGATCACGAATCGTCCTCGCGTCCTTGTACTGGGCGGTATCAGCCCAACGCGATTCGCGCGTGACCTATCGACGGCAGAGAGCGCTCACTCGCCGACGGACAAAAGCGCGACGCGCGCGAACACACTCCTTTAGATGCGCAGAATTGTGCGAAGACCATTTCAATGATGCATCATTTCTGACAAACACGAAGAAACGTTTAAAATTGGATGTAGTTCCAATTCATTTTGAGAGCGAACATGTTAATGAAAATGTAGAACAAGTGAAGAAAAGGAGACATGTAGAAGTGGAAAAACTCCTTGAAGAAGTAGAAATCAGAGAGAACACTATACCAACTGTTCTAACAAGTCACATT